CAGCTCAGGCAAGAACAAGGGTCTTGTTGTCAACGTGAGGTTAATTTCCAAACGCACTCAACACCGGAAGGTGAGGCCGGTCCCCGCCAGGGAGAAGCACTCCCCGTTTTTATTTTGCATTCCTTTTTAGAAGCATTATCGTCATCATTACAATGACCGGCTATTTTTAAATAACATGTTATTTTCAAATCAAGAAAGATGCATCATCTAGTGCAGCGGTTCTCAACCTGTGGGTCACGACCCCTTTGGCAGTCGAACGACCCTTTCACAGGGGTCACTTAAGACCATCCTGCATATCAGATATTTACATGACGACTCATAACAGTAGCAACATTACAGTTATGAAGTAGCAACGAAAATAATTTTATGGTTGGGTCACAACATGAGGAACTGTATTTAAAGGGCTGGAAGGTTGAGAACCACTGGTCTAGTGGGATACCATCTTCAAACTCCTTTTAACGGGTCCATGTGGGGAGTCAGCCATGCAGACGGGTGTCCGGCGTGTAGACCGCACCTGGTGGAGCCCCCTGCGTGAGGGAGCCGTGCGAGCTCCCTCCACGTGGACGGATGCATTCAGACAGAACAGCTGCAGCCGCTAGACGCCTTCGTTTACCCAGGGCCGGGTGTCCGTCTTGTTCGCTTCCCTCCATTAACGAGCCCCCACGTCCTGCGTCACCTGCGTCCCAGGGGAAAACCTCCCTCGAGTGCGAGGATGACGGAGCCTCCTCACAGGGACCCAGTTCACGACTGGAGGGACAGTGAGACCCCAAAGGCCACCTGGGCCACACCCTCTCCCGGGCGGGGTGTCAAGGGACACCCTGCAGATCTTTCAGACACCCCATGGGCCGGACATCCTGTTACCTGGCACCAGGTCACAGGGCCCCTCCTGTGGGAACTGGGAGCACTTACAGCCCCCAAATCGCAAGCACAACACGCCCAAGGCCGCTGCACCCCTTTGGGCGAAGTTACCTGCACCTTCGCTCCGAGGAAGAGAACAGAACGCTGCGCGGTGGGCTCCCTGCCCTCCCCTCAGCCAAGTGAGGGTATTTCTTTTTTCTATTTAATATTTTTTTATTGATTTCAGAGAGGAAGGGAGAGGGAGATGGAGAAACATGGATCGGCTGCCTCCTGCACGCCCCACACTGGGGATGGAGCCCGCAACCCGGGCATGTGCCCCCACCAGGGATCGAACCGTGACCTCCTGGTTCATAGGGCGACGCTCACCCCCTGAGCCACGGGCGGGCGGTATTTCTTTCTAATGACGCATTCACAGCATCACCCTGCTTCCTGCTCAGGAGGAGCCCAGTGCAGAGGGAGCCGGCTGGGCCGGGTGCGATCAAACACGCCCGCTCCGACCCCTGCCTCCTCAGGCACCTGTCTCCCGGCGAGCAGGGCTGCCACGCCCACGGCAAGGCTGAGCCAGGAGGAAGCCACACAGGTGCCCGAGCCGGCTGCTCGGCCTTATTACCGGGAAAGGAGGAGGCTGAGGAAAGTGCTCTGCAGTATTTCCCAACTTTTACAATACACTTCAGCGCAAGTACGTAAGGCCAACATCTGTCCTGCCCCTTCCTGACCCTGCAGCACATGGCCGATGGGGGACAGGCCGGGTTTTCCCGCTTCCAAGCCAGTCTCTCCCTCCTTCCTGCCTCCTCGGCCCCGGGCCCAGCTCCCTCCAGCGGGGACCGCAGTGCGCCTGCCCCGGTGACCGGGGGAGAGAGAGAAACATCAATGCTGAGAGAGAATCCCCTGGGAATGAGCCCACAACTCGGACATGTGGCCTGACTGGGAATCGAACCGTGACCTCCTGGTTTGTAGGTCGATGCTCAGCCACTGAGCCACGCTGGCCGGGCAAGTGAGCGGTGAATTTTGGAGGGCAAGGACCCACATGTCCACCACCCCTGGGATCCTAGACACACCACAGCACACAGACATGTCTGCTCAAGGTGGTGGAAGCTGAGCCACGGCTGGTTGGCTTACAGGCATGTCCTGCAGCTCTTACAACACAACCCACACGCAGCTTGGTGACCCGTGGGGCGTGGGCAGCGTCGCTCTATGTCCCTTCATCGTACGTGTCTTCAGGTCGGCCTCTGGGTGACCGGTACTTGCCGAGTCCTAAGACAACCCGCAGCCTAACCTCTCGGGCAACAGGGCCCCTCCCCACTGTCACACACCCCCTCCCCCATCTCACCCCCAACCCCCGATCCAGCCGCTCACAGCTGAGCACTGGCGTTCCTGGCGCCGTGTCCCACAGTCTGACGCCTTCGGAACTCATGACAAGTGTCCCACAGAAAAGTCAGAGACGAAGCGCTCACACGAGGGTGCTTAGTGCCCATGTCTGTCCACAGAAGCGTCCACAGCCCAGCAGGTACCACAGGAGCCGGCCCCGGCCACCTCTCCGGGCAATGCCTTCCCACTTCCCGGTGGGGGTGCCTGCCCAGGCGTCCTGAAGGAGGAAGCAGGGGGCGGCCTGAAGGCAGGTCTCGGAGGCCAGGGAAAGAGCTGCTATTCTGCAGGAGCTGTGCTATCACTCATCCATTCATTCACTCATCCATTCATCCATTCACTCATTCATCCATCCATTCACTCATCCATTCATTCATTCGTTCATTCACTCATTCATTCATCCATTCACTCATTCATCCATTCATTCACTCATTCATCCATCCATTCACTCATTCATCCACTCATTCATTCATCCACTCATCCACTCATTCATTCACTCATTCATCCATTCATTCTCTCATTCATCCATTCCACTCGTTCATTCATTCATTCACTCATTCATCCATCCATTCACTCATTCATCCATTCACTCATCCATTCATTTGTTCGTTCATTCACTCATTCGTCCATTCATTCATTCACTCATTCATCCATCCATTCACTCATTCATCCATTCACTCATCCATTCATTTGTTCGTTCATTCACTCATTCGTCCATTCATTCATTCACTCATTCATCCATTTGTTCATTCATTCATCCATTCATTCATTCGACATGCATTGAGAACACAGTCTCCTGGGACCTGCGCCCCACTCAGGAAACAAAAGCAGGCGTGGTCAGGCGGTGGCCACAGAGCCCGCAGAGTGGGAAGGCAGGACACGTTACTCAATAACCCTTGATACATTCAGCATTTAAAATCGAGAAGAGTCTCCAAAGGGGGTACAACTCCATGACAGCACATGACGAATAAGGCGTCCCAGGTCAGGGCACCCAGACAAGCTCCTGGAGGGGTAAGGTGACCTGGAATCTGCAGGGCCAGAGGAGGGAGGAGGAGAAGAGAGGAGGAGGGAGGAAGAAGGGAGGAGAGAGGAGGGAGGAAGTAGGGAGGAGGGAGGAGGGAGGAAGAGGGAGAAGGAGGGAGGAGAGAGGAGGGAAGATGGGAGGAGGAGACAAGGGGCAGGGAAGAGGAAAGAGGGAGGACAATGAATGAGAGGAGGGAGGAGGGAAGAGGGAGAAGGGAGGAGGAGGGAAGAGAGTGCTCCAGGCAGAGGGAGCGGGGTGGGCAGCACCTGAGGCGGGAGGAGACAATATTCCCGGAAGAGGACAATATTCCCAGAGTTATGTTCTTGGAGAACAAGGTGAAGGGCTGATTGGAGGGTGCGGGGAGAAAAACAGGCTGTGCCCCTGACTCATTCTTCAGTCCACATGCCCTTGAGGTTGCCAGGCAGGCGCTGCACCCCCACCTGCCAGCAGCCTGGGCTGAGCGAGCTGCACCCCCATGCTCCCCCTGTCTCAATGCCCAGCCCTCCACCCTCTAGCTGCTCCCCCACGCTCCCCTGACTCAATGCACAGCCTCCCACCCTCTAGCTGCTCCCCCTGCCTCAATGCCCGGCCCCCAACCCCCAGGGAAGCCCTCCTGCACTCTCCCCTCCTCGGGCTGGAGCCCATGTCACATCCGCTCCATGTCCGCCAGGGAGGCCGCCCTGAGCGTCGTGCCTGTGGTCCCTCCCGCTGGACACGGAGCCCCAGGCCCCCACCCTCCCCCCTTCTGCAGCAGAGCTGACCTCCGGCCCTGGAGGCACGCATCCTGCGAGCGGGCACCCAGCATCCAGGCCAAGGAAACTTGCAGGACAGGGAGACGTCACCCGGGAAAGGTGCCCGGGGACACGGCGGGGAAGGCAGGCCCAGCACAGGGAACCGGGCTGGGCAAACTCAGGACCAGAAGCCAGCGAGCTCCAGGTCGCTCCGCCCAGAGAGCCCTGCAAGACGGTCCCCTTCCCTCCCGACAGCGCCCCAAATGGGCCTCCGGCAGCGGCTCCCCAGGCCTCTGGTGTCTGGGCACAGGGAGGGCATCTCAGTAAGAAAGACGAATCACCAGCCATTTTCCCACGAGCGATCTGAACACAAAAACGCCGCACAGAGGACCCGGGAGGCAGCGCGGATCCCAGCGCGATGTCAGAGCGAGAGGAGGAGGCACCTCTTCCTCCCTCGTCTGCCTCTGGGGATGCTGCCTGGAACCCAGGCCCCACATTAAGCCAGGGGTTCTAACCAGAGGCAGCTCTGCACCCCAACGGGCCCTGGGAACTATCTGGAAACATTCACGACGGGCACAGTCTGTGGGAGGAGCTCCTGGCGTGTACTGGGCGGGGCCAGGGCAGCAGCCGCACCTCCC